GGAGAGTCCTAATCAGCACCATTCCCCTTGGGTTCATCTAGCTTCTGGCTGGGAACAAGAAAACCATTTATTCCCTGACTTCTTAAGCTGACTATCATCACGCTACCTAACATCACCGTATCATTAATCTCTGCATCCCATTATAATCTAGGAGTGAGAAAACACAAGCCATGATATAGGCCAGATAAGTTAGCAGCACATCATGGGACAATGGTTCTGTCACAAGCCAAAGTTACTCGATCTGGTTTGTTGTTGTTGAAAAAATTTGATTTATCTGAGCTACTGCACTTCCCTGTTCCAGCCAGGCCTTTCCAGCAATTGTTTTGGATGTAAAGACTTTTGGCCCCTTTGCTGGAATCAAGCCAGCTACTCCTCCTCGCTCATTTCCCTTTGAAGAGTGCTGAGCCATCATCCTTTACTGATAAGGTTTATCACAATTCCAAAGGCTCTGGGCTTCAACTTGGTTTTCATCTAACAACTGGGGCTTATTTACTAGAATTGCCTCTCAATTTCATCTCCCACAATCCTGGGTTTCCAAAATCACATCTTGTGAGCATTCCGAATACACAGAAGGGATACCTCTTAAACAGAGGTCCCCAACCTTTTCGGCACCAGGGACCAGTTCCATGGAGAAAGGTTTTTCCACAGAATGGAAAGTGTGTGGTTTTGTGTGCTGCCTGCATCCCACAGCTGGGGCTTTGCTTGTTTGTGCGGACAGGTTGCTGGCATGCTGCAGCCCAGTACTGGTCCTGCAACTGGAAGACTTAGAGCTAGTGACTACCATTTCACTGAGCCCATCTTCTAAGATCGTTGGGGAGATGAAATGCAAGGAGAGAGCTTGTGGTGGCGTGGTTGGAATAAAGGCAATAATAATTGCAATAAGTAAATAAGTGTTCCATTTTCTTCAGAGTGTGAAACTGAGATTGCGTTGTTTATAGCATTTGATTTTAGCTCATACTTCTTCTCTGCAACTCCATCTAGGTTGTTATGTTAAGCCTAGAAATTAATTAGGCAATTTAAAAAAATGGATGTTGAGTCCCAAACAAGTTATATTCTGCAGAAAGAAAGGGATTCAGACAGGGTCAAAAGATGTGGTGTGTTCTTGAGGCTGCTGTGGGGTTCCTACCAGTAATCTCCAATCAGCTGATTGCAGCAGAATGGCTTTGGGGAACCTCCAAGTAGAGTTGGGCCATTTCTGTGTTCGATGAAGTCTACCTGTTCTGGCCTTGGGACCTTGGGGTTACAATCTAGCCCTCACAGGAGGCTGCCACTGCCTGGACCAGCAGTTCTTCAAATGTGAATCAAAGTCATATAAATAAATGTCATATAAATTAATATTTTAATATTTCTCAGATTTCATTCCTAATGCTGTATACATATCAATAAATATCACCCACACAAATCAAAGCTTAATCATTTTTAGAATGCAAGAGGTCCTGAGACCAACCATGTTTCGAAACTATTTGTCTAGACAGTTCCAAAATGGCATTGCCTGCAGGTTAAAAGACAAACACATCACTGTCAAAATATAATGGTGGAAGAAATGCCGGACTGATAGAATAAAACATAAAGAATGCACCAGTGTTTTGTGTGCAATAAATATTTCCAAACCTAGCATTACCGAGATAGTAAGGTGATCATGGTGAGGTCAGACTGCATTCCCAGATTGGCCAGGCAACATTTCCTCTTGAATCAGGCTCATCCTTATCCCCCAAATCAATTCCAACTAAAGCTTTGTTAAAGATGGCCAGTGCAAAGTTTTTTTAAAAAAAATACCTATTGTTAAGGAGAAACCAGGATAAACTTAAGCCAATAAGAACTGTAAAACATAAACCCTACTAATAAACAAAATATAAATTCTCCTTTGGAAAGGGTCTCCTATAATGGCTTATCATGTTTCTATGAATCTGTTTGGGAAGTGATGCTCCAAAAAGAAGGCACAAAATATTGAAATCATTCAATTGGTGTACCTGGTTTCCTGGTCAAGATATAACTTACTTTTGGTTGGCCAAAAGATACACTCAAAATGTTTTTGAAGGCCAAGGATTTGTTGACTCATATCAAAGAAAGGCAGAGCTAGATCTATAGTCAGATACAGAGATATAAAGGTGTAGAAATAGGCAATGCTTCAATTTCCATTCTTTTCCTGGACTTTTTTCCAGGCATGGTGGTGGGAAGTTTCCTTTCTCTTTTAAAACTATATCAAGCTATTTATTGCAATGTCTGTATGTTTCATACCTCAAAATGGCAAGAAACGACATAACAGAATTTCAATAATCAATTGGGACATGCTTAGGGGGCATGCTAAGGAGATTCAGGGATTCATTTCTGTTGTAGAGCAGTGGCCTGGTTATGCAACTCTGGCTCAGCAGACACTTCCAAGAAACCCACAAAAATAGTTTTGAGGCAATAATTTTGCTCAGCAACCGGTACAGTAATACCTCAGTACTCATCATTAATTGGTTCCAGGAGGTAAAATAAGTACCAAAAGTGATGAGTAGAAAACAAATTTTTCCCATAAGGAATAATGTAGTGAGTCACAAGGCACCAACAAGTTCTAGCTTGTGCATTTGAGTGTCAAACAAATAATGAATACCGGACAAAATTTTGTGTCAAAATGCACTGGGTACCAAATTCAATGAGTTCCAAAGCAGCTGAATACCAAGATGCCACTGTATTTGATACTCTATATGCTGTAAATTGGATATTGATGCTTCACATGAATAGCAAACTAATCAAGACCTACTTTTTGATAAAACCTAAATCAGATATCTCAGATCTGACTCCGGGATTTCTACTTACAGACTTTTTACCTTGTAATAATATTTTAATGTGAATGCATTGTTGTTTGGTCAGAGTTTAGTAATATCTAAATTAATATAGACAACACATGTCTATATTTATGTGATTCTTGATACTCTTGTCATTTTGTTTTTTGTTAGGATAATTAGCTTTTTAACCTAAGTTAAAATAATTTTGAATGCTGCTCCCAAATCAATGATTCCGTTCATTATTCTTCTTGAGAAATCATACAGTACTCTCAAATACCCTATTTTCTGCCACTGAATTTGTTTATTTCTTTATGCAGAATGAGTGGAAGAAGAACTAGAATCTATAGGATAAACCTTCTTGGATGCATATATATTTAGAAACAGCCCAAACCCACAGATATTTGGTCTTCTTAGTCTTACACTGAAACCTATTCTCCATCCCACACTTACCCCACCTCTGTAGGAGGAATGGTAGAGCCTGGGGACAGAGTGAAAAGGGGAACCAGACTAGAATCATTACATAACCACAAGCAAACTAAAACCAATCCCCCCCTTGACTGCCATTTTCCCTTATCTAATTCTAACTGTTGACCCTTAGTTGAAAAGATCTCTGTGCATAGGCTTTAGCAATAAATCAGCTTCAATGAACATTCAGGTGTGGATCTAGCCTTTTGTGCCTGACAACCTCCCAGTCTCCAGTCATTGTAAAAGAATCAAAATAGCATAAATTAACCAGCCCAAGCCAGAGATGTACAACATAGAATCATCAATATACTGATGGTACTAAATCCTGCAATGATAGCTTACTTTGTCCAGAGGCTCCATGTAAAATAAAAGTAGGATGACAGTGGGGCCCAAAGATACTTCCCAAAGCAGACCCTCACCAACATTGGCTGGAACAAACCCTGGAGAAAAGAAGACAATGCTCTTAACACCATGCTTCCCAATCCCTTGAATCAATCCAGAAAGATATGGATAATAGAATAGAGAGCTCAATGAGAACCAAGAGAGAGGCCGTCCCCATATCCTGAGCAAACCATTGGTGATCAAAAAAAGTTGTCAACATCATCTTGGTGTTATACCAGACTGAAAGAGCTGCAGAAAACCGTACAGTTTTTGGAAGCATCTTTCCCTGTTATAAATCCTCTCTTCTTGGATATGTCCAAGTAAAGGCTAGACAGCTATAAATCACAAATAATAATTATTTATTTTTATTAGGTGGGATTAGCCTTTGAGTACTCTGATTCTACCAAGACATATAAAAATGCACACACACATTTTAGATATTACTTTCATGGCTGTACACATTTCTGTGCAGGCTTTTTCTTAATATACATAATTATTTTTCACCAATGTTATGCTATTGGCAAAGTACATTGCAAAATTCAGAGAAGAGTAAATTCAAAATCACAACTGATGGTTGCCTACTGTTTCAGAAGTGCAAGAAATTAGATCAACTCACATTCTAATACTAAAATAAGTAAATTTCTTTCCCTTCCTTACAGTCTCTTGCAACGATATATATTATGCTATTTATTAATTTTCTTATACAGTATCTTTCCTCAAATACCATCAAGGTGGTGATTATATACATGAGCAACCGTGTTTACCTTTATCGTGCAGCTCTGTGTAAAAGAGAAATATAGTGCTCAGGGTGGAAAGGATCCAGCAGCATGCTTTAATTCCCATTCAGTGTTACTTCTCCCAGTGTTTCTACTTCTTCATGTCTGCATTAAATGCCCCCCCCCCAGAGGACTGGAAACTTGCCGAAAAGGAATTACTGGAAGCCCTCAACTTATTACCAGAATTTCTGTCACTAAGCGATGCAGTGAAGTGATTTTACAGCCTTTTTGCCATGGTTGTGAAGTGAATCTCCACAGTTGTTAAGCGACTCCTTTCCCTCCCTTGGCTTTGCTTGTCAGAAGCCCATTGGGAAAGTCGCAAACGGCAACCACATAACCCAGAATGCTGCAGCCGTTGTAAATATACAATATACCAGCTGCCACACATCCTAAATTTGATCATGTGACCAAAGGAACACTGCAACCATTATAAGCGCAAGGACCGCCCTAAATCATTCTTTTTCAGAGCTGTCATAACTTCAAATAGTTATTAATTAAATGGTCGTAAGTCAAGTCTCTCTCTCTCTCTCTCTCTTTCTCTCTCTCTCTCTCCCCCTCCCTCTCCCCCCCCCCCGTTCTTTTGGCAGTACATTCTGTGTTATCTGAAAGTAGGGAAGCTGGTTTCAAAAATGCAGAGCGGAAAAAGGAAATTTGCCTCAGGAAAGCAGACATCCTCTAGATTTCTTCAAAAGCATGGTGCTGAGAACGATTCATGCTGCCCATTCCTGGAACCAGAGCAGTGCTCGAGAGCTCAGGCAAAATCCTCACATGGGGCCTTGCTTTCAGAGTAACAACCTGTGATGTTCATTTCCTGTGTGTGAGAGATAGGAGGGAGGGAAAATAGCAACAAATCTGTGAGACACCAACAAATTCACATTCCTGGAAAGGCTGCACTTCACATCCAAGCTGGAGGGACTGAAGAGTAGAGCTCTTTATTGCAACATCACCAGAACCAATTTTGATTTCTAAGAAGGTAAGCAATAGATTGATCTGTTCTCCAAAAACGAATTTTGTTACTAGGAGCTTAGTTTGTTTTTTAAGGGGGGGGGGGAGATTTAATTTGGATTATGAAGTTCCTTCTCTTCCTTCAAGTGACCTGTAGGAAATGTGCTTTTTACCTATCGTCATCAATAATAAAAAATTATGGTTCTTCTTCACCCAAATTGCAGAGAAGCAAATATTTTGTCTGTTGGTTTAAATTTCCTCCTTTCAGAAGGAAATTGCTGTATCCATCATTATATATCTATTCTGCTTTCAACTGTTAAAATTACATTAAGGTTGTTTGTTTGTTTCTAAACTGGGAAAATTTCTTTAACTGATGGTTTCAAAGTTATCTATATAACATGGGGGGGGAGCTCATTTGAGACACTTGTTTCTTTTGAACATTCTTTATGGCCCAAAATTTGACAATTGATAGGATATGTCAAACATTTAGATACATCACACTCTCTTTTTTCCTTGCACTTTTCTCTTGAAGGAAGAACTCCATGGAATGCAAAAACCAGCCAGTGCTTTCATTTGGTCTAATAAAAATCCATCCTTTGAATCATTTAATCATAATCTACTGTTAGGCCAATTTGATAGTTTTGTCAGTATCTTATCTCCAGCTCTTTCAAACCGGAAGAAAATATTTAGAGAAGTATTATTATCTTCACAAAGCACATTTGTTGGAGGTATACAATCCTCAGTGATACCTTTAGTTAAAAGATCTGAGGAAACAGGAACAGAAAAGAAGCTCAAAAGAGAAATATCTATTCTAGAGTGCTAAGAATGACGCTGAGCTTTGTTTAAGGCAGAATGGGGAAAGCCATCTGTAGCGTTTTCTGTCCATTTGATTCTAGGAACAAATCCTGTTACCTCCACCTAAAGCTATTCCCCCATTCTGGAGCCCTTTAGATGTGTTGAATTACAACTTTTACCATCATCTGCCAAATTACTCATACCATAGCTGTTGCAAATGGCAATCACATGCAAGATAGCCTCAATATATTTGCAACAATCAGGTTGGGGAAAAATGGCGTAAAGAATCTCATGTTGCAGAGCTGGAAAACTCTGAAAACCTGGTAGATAGTTCTTGGTAAAATAGGTTACTATTATGACTTAGTCTGAAATAGATCTATATATTCTCTAAATCAACAGTCCCCAACCTTTGCAGCTTGATGGCACAGTGGGAGGGGAGAGGGGGACTGGGCTATGCAAGCAGCAAGCCAGCGCGTGTACATGCGCATAGCTCAACTGCTGAGCTGCGTGTGTGAGTCCAGCTGCATGCACATGCACACCAGCCCACTACTCACACAGCCCTGTTGTGAAAAGGCCATGGCCTAGTAATGGGCCGTGGCCCAGGGGTTAGGGATCCCTGCGCTAAACCATTTTGAAGCATCCTATGGATTCTGGCCAATGTAGTAAGAGACTAAAACTTTGGCAATCCTGCTAGTTAGAGGAGTTTTTACATCATTCAATGGAGTGAAAATTAATTAAGTAAGTAAGGAGCAAATGTGAAGCACTGGAGTCTGTATGTATGACATTTGATTCTGCAAATAGAGAGATGATCTAGATCAGAAGTTTCTCCTATTATATCATCCACCTCCATTTTCAGCTCTTATCTTTCTTTGTCTATCAAGTTTATGTCCCCCCTTGCCAATTATTTCTATTCCCAGAATCTGTCCAGGGTTTTCATCAATAAATCAGCTCCCTTCTCCACTTGTCTGGGCCATATTATGTCTAATATTTAGAGACAACAAAGACACAATTGCTAACAAATCTAGATACTATATCAACATGATGTCAATGCTTACCAAGGGATATCAGTCTCATTCAGTAAAATAATTGGGCTGGTTTATAGTCATATGTCTTCAGCTTCCACACATCTCCAAAAGCAGCGTCTTGATAAAAATGCAGCTTATATCCAAAATTAGCACACAAGATCAATTTAATCAACAGTAATCCAACTCCAATTACTTTTTGAGGCATACACAGCAATCATGTACAGATTTAAAACCCATAGCTATTTTAAAAAATCAGATTCCTGCTATAAATGATCTTGGTACAGGGGAAGAATAAATTCTAATTTCTTTTTTCTTTCTTTTTCTTTTTTGCAGTTCATCTTTTTCCCTCAAAATGGGAGAGCCAGAGACCCTCCCCCCTTTCAATGAAGCACACCACAACTTGACAGAACTCTTCCATGCATTCAACCACACATTCAGCTCTTGTGATTTGAGACTAGATGATAACATCAAACGAGTATGTCTCTTTGTTCTCTATCTCATCATCTTCGTGGTGGGATTGGTGGAGAACCTCTTGGTCATATGGGTCAACTGGCAGATCCGAAACCATCGGAACTTGGTCAATCTATACATTTTCAACATGGCCATTGCAGACTTGGGGGTGATCCTCTCCTTACCAGTCTGGATGTTGGAAGCCATGCTTGATTACACTTGGCTTTGGGGAGATTTCCTCTGTCGCTTCACCCACTATTTTTACTTTGCCAACATGTACAGCAGTATTTTCTTTCTCACCTGCCTCAGCATTGATCGGTATGTCTCCCTGACAACTTCCTCCCACTTCTGGCAGCAACACCAACATCTTGTGCGACGGATCACCTGCTGCTGCATCTGGGCCTTTGCCGCCATCCTCCCTTTGCCAGAGGTGGTACACATGGAGTTAACTGATTCCATTGAACCAATGTGTTTCTTTATGCCCCCATCGGAGACCTTCAGTGAGTGGACCATCAGTCTCAACCTCCTTCTTGCCTTAATTGGGTTCCTTATCCCATTCTCCATCATGGCAATCTTCAATATACTGACCGCCAGACACATCAAGCGTTGTGACAAGCCAGAGAACAGAAAAAACTGCCGCCTCATCTATGCTTACATAATTGTCTTCTTGATCAGTTGGCTGCCATTCCACCTAATATTGCTGCTCTTCACCCTTGAAGGGTCAAATATCTTCTTCCACTGCTATGTGCTTGAGTTCCTGTACTTTTTCTATGATTTCATAGACTGTTTCAGCCTTGCCCATTGTGTGGTCAATCCCATTCTATACAACTTCCTGAGCAAGAACTTCCAAGGAAAGCTTATTTCTGCTGTAGTTAGATACATTCCCAAAGACCAGATGGATCAGAAGAACAGAGATGGCTCTTCCTCCAATACTCAACACTCTATAGTCATCACGCAAGACAAGCTTTAAACCAATTTAAACAGCTTTTCTGATTTTGGGTTCATTGCCACAAGAATGTATTTGCATTTTTCTCTCTTATCAGCAAAGGGTAGGCTTAATTAGGATACCTGTTGTTATTGTTTCCAATGCCAACTTGAAAAGAAGGTCAATATAGGTAAAAATGAGGTGGAAAGGAGGATTATATGCTGCTGTGTCAAACTGACTGACCTTAATCAATCAAAATCTAACATTGTTATTAGTCCTCATCTACTTCCTTCATCTTGAAACTTGCAATGCAGCTTTAACATTTTACTATGGAAAAGAGATGTATTTCTCTTAATTTCTTCAGTTTTTGCATGAAAATAACATTCTGAAAACTCTATGCTGGTCTGCTAGTTAAACAGAATTGTTGGGCAGAGCAGCGTATAGCTGAAGCAGCTGTAAATATAGCTCCAACCTATATGAAACTAAAGAACTGAAGTGATTTGTGAAGATAAAACAGGATCTAGCCGAGGGGGAGGCAACCTTGGCTCTTTTATGACTTGTGGACTTCAACTCCCAGAATTCCTGAGCCAGCCTGGGAATTGAAGTCCACAGGTCATAAAAGAGCCAAGGTTGCCTACCCCTGAGCTAGCCCTATTTTAATATGAACATTCGATTAGTTGTTTCTTGGAACTGGGAAATCAGGACACTACCAATCCAATACGAGCAATTCCTACTTATGTCTTTTTAGTCCAAACCACTAACATTTATCTAACACCACAATAGAAAATTATACCCAGTGAAAATGTGAATTTAGGAAAATGCGAAAAGAGTATCTCTAGAAGATTATATCACAAGTGATTGCAGAGTTTCTCACTCCTGAGAGAATGCACATCACCCTGAATTACTTCATTGTATTAGAAATTCCAAACTAGATTCTAATGTATCTTTTTTTTCCTTTGCCTCTTTCTGCAGCTAGAACATTTGTCTATCCTTGAGTTTTCCTCCTCCTTGAGATATACTCTTCTAACTTTTTGCCTGGTATGGAAATAAATTTAAGAAAGAATTACTTCAGTGTTCAATGTTTGCAAAGTAATACTATTAATGGCCATGGATCATGTTTGTAAAGAACTGAACAAGGCACAAAGGCTCTCTGTGTACAGAAAGTGGACGTAACTGGTTTGAAGGAGAAATTCATAAATGAACTGAATGAAATGTTAGGGATAAATTCTCTGTTTCTTAAATGAAGAACAATGTAAGGAGATGTAGCTATGATTGTTGCATCCAAACATCATTCAAGGGATGCATAGAATAATTATTTAATCTAATGCAGCGATGGAATAGTGCAGTACGGTGTAGACACCTATAAAAATATTTGTAAACATTTTATTTTACAGAAATATGCAAGATAATCTATGTGAAATTTCAAGCACTTTTAATCTTTTACCAAATTTACAAAAGTGATGTAAAAATGGGAAAATGGGTTCAATCAGTCTTGCACTCAATAAAGTGGCATATTGACTGACTGATTGATTTCATTGATTGATTGATCCCTTGAAGATACTAATTCCTTCCTTTTAATTGTAAATGGTTTGGGCTACAGTTAGCTATCTTATTGCACCTATCAAAGGTGTGGCTGGAGAAGGAATAAGAGAACTAGTCTAGCTTATATACATTACTATACATACTCCATTTTTATGTTTTCCTCCCATGTTAATATTCATATAATAACGACTTTATTCATTGTTTTAGTGAATAAAGTCATTATCTGATCTATGACATTTTATAGTAAACAGGGTCATTTCAAAGTGTAACTTGCCCAGCCAGGAAGGAAATGGCTTCTCTTGGCCCAAACTAGAAAGAAGAATCATTTGAAAAGGTAGCACTAATCAAAAATATACTTGAGAAACCTTGCTCTACTCAAATGTAGATCTTCTCAATCAGTTCAGGGAAGAGCACTTTGAATAAACCAATTTGGTTGAATGCACACTTACATACGTGTCTTACAGAGTCAGAGAAGGCAGGCAGGAATTGTAAGATCACCATATTCCATCCCGTTTCCCAGAGAGGTATCTGCAGATGGGGGCTAAAATCTTGCAAGACAACAGCATGGTGTCAGCATTAAAAGCCCTGCCTTTTTTGAACACACATTGGCTCAAAAAACCTGTATCAAAGTATTATGCTTGCCACTTGTATATTCTGACCCCCATCCTCTCTCAGACACCACTGCTCTCTTGTTTAAAAATATCACTGGTTCATCTTTTAAAACAAGTCAGTATAATTATGTATACTGCTGAATCTTCCTAACTCAGGTCAGTATCTAATATGCTAACTAAAGTAGAAACCTTTCCCCCTGCATTCCTACTTCTCCCACCCATATTACTGTATATTCAGTTTATCTCATTATTTTGTTTAATTATTTTACTACCGCTATGTTTACACTTCTTTTCATTCCTGTTTTTACTGTTGTAGGCTGCCTAGAATAGTCCCATGGTAAGACAGTCGGCAAAATAAATTTAACAAATAAATAAACATCCAGCTAATAATCAACCATTAAAACACACTAGTTAAAAATAGCAATTTTAGTACCTAATAATGAAAAAGAGAGACATCTAAGTAGCAACAGCATTTATATACCACTTCATAGTACTTAAATCATGCTCTGGGAGGGTTACAGAGTCAGCATATTGCCCACCAACTATCTGGGTCGTCTTTTTACTAACCTCAGGATGGAAGGCTGAGACAATCTTGAGGCCTGTCAGGATCAAACTCCTGTGTCTGTGGGCAGAGTTAGCCTACAATACTGCATTCTAACCACTGCACCATCTCAGCTCATAACAACCACAATAATTCCCTTGAAGTAGTTGGCTCTTTAACAATTTAGGGTAGGTCAGGGGTGTCAAACTGCCGGCCCATGGGCCGGTTGCATCATACGGAGACCACTCCCACCCCAATGCAAAAAGTCGTGATACATCATGACATATCAATGACGTGGTGAGTTTGACACCTGTGGGGTAGGTCATCAGCAGAGGGATGTCCAAATTTTAGAGGCCAGCTAGATTAGCTCTTTTACCTCACAGAAGTGGAATATTACAAGCAGCCACCTCCTCAGGGTTATTGAATCCAGTTGAAGTAAGTGGTCCTATAAGTATTTAAGTGCCAACCCATAATATTGCGACTGCCTCCATGGGAATCTCCCGGCTATTCTTTCTCCAAGTCCTTGGCATAAAGGTTGCTGATTTTATAGGAAACTGGTTTATATACATTTTCTTCAATGGAAAAAAATAAGCATTGCTCGTATAGCGTAGAACAGGGGTGTCAAACTGCTAGCCTGCAGGCTGGTTTCATCATACCAGAGCCACGCCCACCCCATTGCCAGCAATGGTGAAAAAGCTCCGATACACCACGCGACGTCACCTGACGTCGCGAGTTTGACATGCCTGGCATAGAAGACCATTGACTGAGTGAAATAGTTCGCCACGTAACAGCTTTACCCTCTGTCCTTGGAAATGCAAGAGAAGGAATTAGTGATGTCCTGCAGGCAAAGAATATGCTCAGCCTCACACCGGGCTAAAACAAAGCACTTGGTTAGAATGTATCACCATTTACAAACAAGAAAAATGTTGCAGGAAACTCTTTTCAGTTTTCACTTTTATTATTCTAAATAAAAAACACACTTTTGTGCCAAACAATGGAGTATAAAAGAATCCGATGTACAACCATTTTAGACATCTACTTTCTTTTCTTTAGGAAGGAGGAAAGTTTTACAAAATATACAAACTTTACAGCAAATAGATAGTAAACACTTAAATAACTGAGAGGTCAGTACCTACAATTCACTTAACCAAGAGATCTGACAGCAATCACAATGCTCAGTTTTCTGCTTTTGCTGTTTCGTTTCAAGACATCTGGATCTTTGGAGGAAATGGAGGGGGAGGGCAGGGCTGGAGTTTACAGAAAATAATAATTAATAATGCATCCATTTCCAAAATACATTTTTTTCATTATTTCAAAGGATTCTACATGAGATTGGAATACCTGTTCCATGCCTAAATCCTTCCCTGCTAGGATGATAATGGTGAGAAGGAATTCTTCACAAATGATAGCGTGTCAAACAGAGTGAAGCTATTTAATTACAATACTTAGTCCTTCTACAAGCCTAAGGGTTCCAAAGCACTTTACAGACATTTATTACACCTCACAACTTGTCACCTGTGAGGTAGGTATTTTTAATTATTCCTCCTCCCCACCTTCATTCATGAGTGGATAAATGTACAAGGCAGGCAGGTGATGTTATTTGGCCAAAGCTAAACTCATGCAGATGTTCAGAACTTGAAGCCAATCCCCTATTCTCTGGTTCCGAATGCCCTAATTATGAGGCCAATTACTCATCATGATTTTGCTAGAAAGTGTTCATGAAAGAAACCTCTCAAGCTGCAATGGCTTCCCCTGTGGAGCAGGAGGACAGGTTTGGCACTGGAGAACCAGAGAAAAGCAGCTGTAGAATTCTGCTTTGATTTAAAGATAAATTCCTACTATATACAAGCAATATATAGGAATGTCTTCTCCACTTCTCCTACTGAAGGCCACATTTTTATTCAGGAAACATGGTTCAGCACTGGATGCATTGTCTGAAATACATAAATGTAGCAGCAGCCTTAGGTAGGGGCATAGATAAGGTCCAGGCAAGAACCATCTTTCAGCGTAGAAAAGGAAGAAATACCAACTTCATCAAGATTAATAGGTAGCATGAAGCTTCCTGATTAGCCAGTACTAGGAGATTAATCTTTAATATCTATTCAACAGCAAAATCCTTTGGCTTGGTGTATTTTTGGTTCCACCTTCTTGGTCAAGGCCCTGCCATAAACGTATCCGTAGATGAAGATTAGTGGTTCAGTCCCTGGGCAGCTTTTAGAACATTACAAATAACTCTCAGCATTAATATTTCCTCGGGCTATTCCCAACTGCCATATACATTGTTCAGTTTCTCAGCATATCTTGTTGGGTCCAAGGCCACAAAGGGAAAGGAACCCCCCCCCCAAAAAAAAGATCTGAATATCTGCAGCACGCAATGTATGAATTATGGAAATATTATTTTCCTAGGATATGAAAACAAGACAGAAGTAAGTGCTTTTCTCTTGAACACATATCAAAACATTTATCTTCACAACATCCTTAAGAGGTAGGTACTATATGCAAAGACAAAGCAAACCTGCCCAAAGACTGCCCTACTAGAATTAGTTTCACAGCTGAGATTCCTGAAGCTGCGGTTTTTACATACATACACACATACACTCCCATAGGCCAGGTTTACATTTTTGTATCTTTAATAACAGTGTGTTTATATATAGAAGCCCAAGGATCCATTTGTACACAACAGGAGCTGTGAAGATTCTAGTGCTTTCTCCTCATGAGGTAGTTTGCATTATACCAAGGGCCAGTTCTCAAACCAGCTGTTCCATCTCTCAATAAGCACTTTTCCTACAGATTCCCCGTTGAATGGAAATCACAGAACTATACTTGTTTGCGGAATCAAACACAGTCCACAAATGAAGCAAACTATAATCCAAATCAAGGTCTTTGTCTTCTGCTCTCCCTCTAAATTAGTTATTTAGTTGCACCTCATTCCACTTACAATTTTCCATCCCCTCAAAAAAAGGGAAGAAAGTTCCAATTTCAACCTCTACTGTGACTTTTCATTATTACAGAGCAAATATATATTGGCCTTTTCAGTTGATAAAACCAATCTGTACTTTCTGCTAGCATATTCTTACATTAGCACAGAGACAGAACTTACAACCTGCTTCTGTGCTATTTTTTTTTAAAAAAAGGAATGACATAAGGGAAGAACCAGACACACAATTTGCTTTTTAAAAAAGAAAAAAGAAAAGATGTTGGTAGCAGAAGAAAACTGCATGTGATCAGAATAACTTGAAAACTATAAATCAGATTATTGTGACAAGGTAAGGCAGACACAAGATAGTGTTGCTGATTTTTCTTCTTTTTCTTTTAATTGCAAGACTTAATGGATTTTCTTGGACTGATATTGAAACATATTAAACCTGACAAAACAAATATAAAACAGGTATAGGAAATAATGGTGCACAGTGGTTGTGATATCATAGGCACTATATGAGGGCAACAATAAGAGACATGTTTATTAATAAGTAAGGGAGGGTATGTGGGCTCTAAAAAAAATTTAATCATAAAAGTTTTATGTAGCTCTTTGCTACCATCTTGTGGTAATTCTGTAATGCAACTATGGCAGCCTTATAAATAAATTGTTGAAGGTTCTTCTTCCCAAACCGAATTCCTGCTTCCAACTATTTGTGCATCTAACAATCATTCATCAAGATAAGTGGTGTTTATAATTACTAGTCTTCACCCTGCTTCTGTGTTCTGACTGAGTTCTTCATTTGAGCAGCAACACTTAATTCTACCAATAGAGTATCTTCCATATAAGCTGAGGTACAACTTTCATCACCTTCAGCTGTGCAAATATTGGAAATATTTTCAAAACTGCCT